GCCAATTACAATATAAAACTTAACAGATTTTGATAAAAATTAATTAAATGTATGTTTGAAGAATTATGAGTCCTATAAAATATGTATATTAAAATTAATTGTTGAGTTTAATTTAGATTAAAATCTAAATTTTAATTTCTATCAAATAGGAGCTTAATGTCGAGACCTTGGGGGGCCAATTGTTTGTTTCCAACTCACAATCACCTTGGACTCGCCTCAGAAAATATTACAAAGGAGTTCAATGGGAAAAACATCAAACACATCAGAAGGTCAGATTAGAAGCTCATCTAAAGAGCTCGGCCAAGTGATGTTATCATTTGAGAACATCATCATTACAACCCTAAAAAGATGTCTCTTAATGATGTCACCACCTTCCTATCAAATATGTTTGATGTTCACATACTTGTTGCATTTAGTCTTATCTAGTCCTTCCATGGTTAATATAGAAAGTAGATTCCGTCCAAATTTATTAATGAGTAAATTCAAGTATTTTCAGCTGTACCAAAGAACAAATGCGTGTGTAGCTAAAATGTAAGACAAACAACATTTAGGTATTTCATCGTGAGCATTTAAGCAAGTTTAATGAAACTCTTTGTCAATAAAAAATAAAATAAAAATCTGTAATAATTAATTATATTAACTAGTTATTTTCCTTTATTAAATATACTAATTTGAAAAAACATATTTTAACAAACTCTAATACTATATATTAAATGAAGATAGATTTTACGTTAATTACCTTTGTGATAAATTTCGAGTTAACGACAACAAATTTGTTGCAAAGTATATCTTAAATCAGTTCTATTCTTACTGTATTTTATGTTTTCTATGTCGGATGTTGGATTGTTCGTTCCCTTCCTGACAATTTTGAATTTTTCTTTTTGTTATAATAAAATGGTAAAGATCTATGTTTAAATCTTACCGCGTTCGTTTGTTTCAATTTGATGAAAAATCGATGTTTCAAGTAACATTTTGAAGTAAAAAAGGAGCTTTTAAATGTAATAGAATTTTAAGGTCATGCGACTTTCTATTTATCTAACACGATTAACTTTTTTCCTATTGATGGAACTTTTTTCCTATTGATGAAAGTTTCAATTTAAAGTTGTTATATTTTTACATATCCAACGTATTTAGTTTTATCCAGTCTAACGTTAGGAGAATCAAACTTGCTGTTGAATTCAACTAAAACATGTCAGATCTTCACATGCCAGTCATGTTTAGTCTTGCTCAGTCTAACGTTAGGAGAATATGTCCAAAATTAGTGTGTAAAATTCATGCATTTTCAATTACAGCTGGAAAAGAAAACAGGCGTAAATATAGGACAAACAACATTAAGAGATTTTATCGTGAGCATTTATGCATGCAACGTAAAGAAATTATTAGTAGGTAACAAATTTTGTCTGTAATAATTGATTATTTTCACCTAATTTTTTTGCTTTTATGAATGTAATTAGTAGTCAAAGAATGCCTAATGCTACTCACATCATGAAATATTCAAGTTAATAATTTTATAATTTAGTATATAAAATAATATATTCATCAAAATAACCAATATGCTCGCTCGAGTTGTACAAACAGATTTGATTTGTATAAATTGTTTTTTTCCAAGAAATATATTGAGAGAGAATTGATTTGGCTCATATATTCTAAAAAGTTACTTTTTGGCCGTGTTGCGCATGGTCCGTGCAAGTTTGGCGCGCTCGAAAGCTAGACGAGTAGGGTTCACAAGGATTTCAAGAGCTACGATAAATAGTCATTATCCGCAATATGGAATGATAAAGATAATAATAATAATAATTACTTGAAACTGATTTTTATTTTTATTTTATGTGTCGAATGCTATATTGCACACAGCAAATTGGTAGGAATCTATGCCTAAATTCCAACATTTCCTCATGAGCATTAATTATATTAACCTAATTATTTGCCTTAATTAAATTATTAATTTGAAAACTCATAATTTATTAATTTAATAAACTCTATTGCTTATATAATAAATGAAGTTAGATTTTACATTGATTCTCTTTGTGATAAATTTTAGAGTTAATGGCGATTGATTATTATCCGCTATGTACATAAATCAGCCCTTTCTTATTGTATTTAAATTTTTTCTGTGTTGGAGATTAGCTTGAACGTTCCCTTAATGACAATTTTCTATTTTTCTTTTCGTTATTAAAAACGGTAAAGATCTATTTATAAACTCTAACCATTTTGGTTGGTTCCAATTTGATGAAAACTCGATGTTTCATATAATAGAATTTTGAGGTCGTGCGACTTTCTCTTTGTCTAACACGATTAACTTTTTCTATTGATGAAAATTTCAATTTAATAATGACAAAAGAATTTAGTTGATATCGATTGTTTTTATACAGATGTAAATTTTGCTATTAAAAAATTAATTTTAAAAAACGTAAGGAACGAAATGGGCAAATTAAAACTTACTTTAAAATTCAACTATAGTTGTTAGATTTTCACATGCTCGTCGTGTTTAGTCCTGACAAGCCTAACGTTAGGAGAATGAAACTTGCTTTTATATTCAACTAAAATTTGTCAGATCTTCACGTGTAATACGTGTTTAGTCATATCCAGTCTAACATTAAGAGAATCAAACTTGTTTTTCTATTCAACTAAACTTGTCAGATCTTCACATGCCAGCCGTTTAGTCATATTCAGTATAACGTTAGGAGAATCAAACTTGTTTTTGAACTCAACTAAAATTTGTCAGATTTTCACATGACAGATGTGTTTAGTCTCATTTAGTCTAAAGTTTGGAGAATATGTCCAAATTTAGTGTGTAAAATCCATGCATTTTCAGTTATGGTTGGAAAAGAAAGCGAGCGTAAAGTCTGAAATGAAAGACAGACCATTAAGGGATTTTCTCGTGAGCATTTATGCATACAACGTGAGCTAATTATTAGTCGGTAAAATTTTTTTCAGTAAAATTGATTATTTTCACCATTTTATTTTACTTTGATGAATTGAATTAGTACTCTAAGAAAGCATAATGTCATTCACATCGTGAAACTTTTATAATGTAGTAAACAAAATAATATATTCATGAAAATCACTTGAAGAGCTAATATGATTGCAAGAGTTGAACGAGCGGATTTAATTTTTACTAGGAATGCATCGAGAGAGAATTGATTTGACTCATACATTCTGAAAGTTACATTTTGCCCGTATGTGTATAGTACATGCAGGTTTGGCACATTCGAAAGTCAGAAGAGAGCGACAACAAATAACCATAATCCATAATATACAATGATAAAAATTAAATAATGGGATGGTCAAAGATTGTTTTATATGCGTCGTTTATCTGAAATTGACTTCTCTTTTGTCGTGTTTTAACTTTTTCTTTGTCGAATATTAGACAGTACACGACAAATTGTTGGGGATTTGTGCCTAAACTACAACCTTTTCGTTGTCCCAATTTCACGGAAACTACCGTTATGGTTAAAAAAAATAAAAATAATAATAATAATAATTAATAATTAAAAACCTTTTTGCATGTAAAAGAGTTTTTAAAAATTAAGGCGTGCATGAAAATAGATCGTATATATCTTATGCGACTCTCTTAATGTATCAAAATTAATGTTTTTCTATAGACGGAAACTTAAGTATAATATCAATAAAAACAAATTTATAGGGGTCGACTCTTGCTTATTAGAAATTTGGTTAGTGTTACGTAATCAGCAAGTGATTATGAGATTACAATATCATTATCGATCACAATATTACTCTATAAACAAATTAATGATTTTTACATTGTTACAATTACTATTGTGTATGTCTGGAAAAATTTAGAAGTTAAAGAAACAACAATCAAAGTTATTTACAGCAACGGGCATTGTGCAGAAGAGATGATAAAAGATTAATTTGAAAAATGGGCTAGAGAGCACAGGTTTAAACGAAGAACATTTCGAGATATAAACAACGTCATAAGTTAAACTTTTGGTTAAAATTGTATTTTGATTGCATAATGTTTTTGAAATATATCGTATTTGATCTTTAAAATCTTGTTTTCAAAATGAATTTCATTGTGCTTAAACCTTTCTCGATCTAATTCACTTCTCAAATAGTGAAATAACGTACATAATAATTTATACAAGCAATTGGAATTGTGACGGTGATTTTTTCTTATTTCCTTCCATTTTCTTATTTCCTGTATTTCTAGACTTGTTAGCATCGTTGAAATGTGAAAAATCTCTTTTTCTTGGAGGAAAAAGAAAACAATAATGACGTTTGCCCTCCAAGTGATAAAAGGATCATATTGAATTTACTACCATTTTCCTCAATCAAGAATAGAAATAAACAAATCTGTAATCCAAATCTCTGACCAAATAAAAATTTACAAAATCTCAACAAGTCAAATTAGAAATTTTCAAATATTAATTTAATCCATATTTATTTTCATAATCTGCATAGATTTTCGAACAAACCCAAGTTGTACTATTTGTTACTGAGCATGGGGATGTAACTGAAAGAAATTAATGATACATTTAATTGTCAACACTTTTAATGAAAAATGTCATTTTCCTAGTCAAATTCTTACTTTTGTGCTGTTTAATTAATATTTTTTTCCATGAGAAATATTTTCCAACTTTTGATTACGTGAACATATTTTCCTTGAAAACAAGGAACACATTTTCTTTAGAGGAAGTAAGTTTTTATTTTTCAGCTAATTCTCTCTTTTTCTCTCTCATGTACTCACCAATAAAGAAATTGATAAATATAATATATTTTAAGTTAAACATTAAATCAATCAAACACAATAAATTTGCAAATTGCTTAAAATTTATTTTCTTTCTATATAAATTTCATGTTTACAATCAAAAACATCGTATGAGTTTTGAGGTCAATTAATTACAGATAAAGGGTGTAATTGTAATAAATTTTCATATAATGAACAGATTTGCTCAATTTACCATGGTACTGTAGACCCTCGCCCACTCTCGCAACCCCCCAACCCCAGGTCAGCCTAGCCCTATATAAAGCCAAGCCAAGAAATGAAAATCCACCCCAAAATTGAGAAAAACTTTTTGTAAAATTGGTTTAGGAGTGATTTTCCTCAAAGTTTTGGAAAAAAGAAGATAAATTTAACAGTAGCAAGCAAAAGATACCCCATAAATAATGCTTCAAAAACCCAGAACGAGAGTGTGCCAGTCTGCACTTTGTTTAGAGCAGTAGCTTCCTTCTCTCTCTTACTCTGAAGTAGAGGAAACAAGAGTAACTCACCGTAGAGGTGTATTCAATGTTCATCAACAGCCCATAAATTTCTTTCATTTTATTCTCTGATATATGCTTTCAAGAGAAGAAAATGGAAGAAATGAGCCAATTTTTTCCCTGTTTTTAATGTCGTTCAATGTTAACTCCCTTTGTGTTTTCTCTCAGATCTAAAACAGCCCTTTAATTATCCCATTGCACTATTGTTGGCTTCTGTTTATTCCTTTTTGATTGGTTAAAATGAGTAAAGAAGAGTTCTTGAAAATCCAGGTACTTGTTCTTTGTTCATTTGTATATCAATGTATGTAAATTATGTTTCTGCAAAAGGTGGGGGCGGGGTGGGGGTTCTATTCATTTTTGCTTTATGGGCTTTGCTTGTTCTGAACTCAAGATCTTTGAATGTCATTTCGCCTTGCTGTTTGTCTCTTTCCTAACCTTTTCTTTTCTTTCTCTGTAACAGCTATTTTACAGTCAAATTCAATTGGATAGATTTATTCATGGAAATCGTTTATTTATTTTTTTGTTTGTATTCTTGTTTTTTGGGTTCGTTTTTTATTTTTTGAGTTTGTTTAATAAAGTTGTAAACTTTAACCTGGGTTATTATCTGTCTTTGCTTGTTTATGCAGACTTGTGTTCTTAAAGTCCATATACACTGTGAAGGCTGCAAGCACAAAGTGAAGAAAATCTTGCAGAAGATTGATGGTATGCTTTTATTTCAATCTCAATTTTTTTAATCAATTCTAGACCGTTTTTTGTTTTTTTGTTTTTAACAGTCTTTTCTATAATTAATCTGTTAATTCAAACCTAAAAACACACCATTCTCATAAAAATAAAGGGCTTTCACATCTTGTTAACCCTAAATGAAATGGCTAGGGAGATGAATTTGTGTAAATATATGTATGTAATAGACTTGAATTTCTGTGAAGTTGAGACTCAATTTTTGAAATTTCTTTTCGCAGGGGTTTACACTACAACCATAGATTCAGAGCAGGGGAAGGTTACAGTGTCTGGAAATGTTGGTCCTGAAACACTGATCAAGAAGCTTTCCAAGAAAGGGAAACATGCAGAAATTTGGGGTGCACCGAAGGCAAATAATAACAATCAGCTTAATAATCAGTTCAAGAATCTGCAAATTGACAATGGAAAAGGTGGGAATAACAAGGGGCAGCAGGTTCAGGTTCTAAAGGGTGGCAATAACCAGCCAAAAGGTGGTCCACGGGGAGGTCAAAATCCACAAGTCCAACAACTTCAACAGCTTCAGCAATTGAAAGGGTTTCAAGATCCGAAAATGCTGCCTCAGCTTATGAAGGACTTGAAAATGCCGAAGGATCAAAACCCGAAATCTGGCAAATTCAACGGTTTGGAGGACAATGACATGTCTGATGATGAGTTGGATGAATTTGATGATGAGGACGAAGATGAGTTGGATGATGAAATGGAGGATATGACTATGAATAAGACAAAGCTGGGCAATGGCCTTGCGGGTGCACCGATGCCTAACATGATGGGCTGGCAGAACCCTCAGCTGATGAAGGGTGGTGCTAATGGTGGTGGAAATGGAGGAAATGCGGTTGGGAATGGAAAAATTGCTGGGGGTGGGAATGTGCCAGTTACGGTCAATGTTGGTGGTAATAATGGTGGCAATAAAGGTGGTAATGGTAACAATAACAGTGGTAACCAAAATCAGGGAGGCCGAAAGAATGGAGGCGGTCAGCCACAGGCCAACAACGGCGGTGGAAGTGGCGGTGGGCAGATGAAGAATGGTAACAATGGTTGTGCTAATGGGGCCAAGAAAGGGGGTGGAATGAATGATGGGCCACAAGGCATGCCAAACATGATGACTGTGAATGCTGGAGGTAGTGTGGGGCAGACGAGGACTGCCCCCATGGGCCAGATGGGTCAAATGGGCCAGATGGGTCAGATGGCGATGGGTCAAATGGGCCAGATGGGTCAGATGCCGATGGGTCAAATGGGCCAGATGCCGATGGGTCAAATGGGCCAGATGCCGATGGGTCAAATGGGCCAGATGCCGATGGGTCAAATGGGCCAGATGCCGATGGGTCAAATGGGCCAGATGCCGATGGGTCAAATGGGCCAGATGCCGATGGGTCAAATGGGCCAGATGCCGATGGGTCAAATGGGCCAGATGCCGATGGGACAGATGGGTCAAATGCCAATGAGCCAAATGGGTAACCCTGCAGCTATCCGAGGCCTACCTGCTCCGCCCATGAATGGTGGTGGTGCTGTCAATTTCCAAGGTGTTGCCCCTGAGCAAATGGCCGCGAACCCCTACTACCAACAACAATTGGCTGCGATGATGATGAACCAACAACGTGCCATTGGGAACGAAAGGTTTCAACCCCTGATGTATGCTCCGCCTGCACCTGCCGTCAACTACATGCCACCCTACCCTTCTTACCCGTACCCTCCTCCTGGCGAACGCGTTGAAGAGTACTCAATGTTCAGCGATGAGAACTCGTCAGGTTGCACCATGATGTGAACCTGCTGCCCGACTCAGCTCTACCTAAAGATGGATTTTCTGAATTCTCTTATAGTTCATGACTTGGTGGTCTTGATCCCGTAATATACATGGAAATGGTTTCTCTTTGATTTTAAGTTTAGATTACTGTTTAATCATAGGGAGTATTTGATAGAATATATACTATCAAAGCTTTAGACAGTGGGGATGGCAATGTTTATATAATGTTTATATGCTGGAAACATTAATAAAATCAAGGAGATTGATGGGATTTAGTAAATAATATGTCCATCTCTTTTCCCATTTCTTTTTCTTATTCATTTCGTATAGCTCTGTTATTCTCTTCAAAGGTACAGAGTGCTCAAAACTCTATTTTAAGCCTCGTGAAAATATGTCTCTTACAAATTTCTAGCACTAGAAAATCTTGCTTCATAAAGTACTAACAGGTAAGGAATCAATGAGAAAAGTCCAATTTTCTCAAAATTACGTAATTAAAGGCATGTTTGCTACGATGAACTTGTTTCTGTTTTAATTTAGCATATCAAGATTAGACACAAAGATTGTATACTATAATATATAGTAGATACAATCAAATATAATAAATGATTTAATTATATTTCGGTAATTTAATACTATGCAAAACAAAGATTGGGACCATAGTTGACGAGATATGACCAATCCCATTTGCATCTCTGTACAGTAGACGTAGACTAGATTATGTTCAATACAACGCACCAAGATTGGCTACAAAGATTGGTCCCACTGTTTACAAGTTATGATCTAAGATCATTTATTTATCCGTACAATGGACTAGATTATGTTTAGTTCAACGAATCAAGATTCGCTACAAAGATTTGGCGACCATTAATGAGTTAAGACCCTAACCCTTTGTTTATCGTATTGTGGACTAGATTATGTTCAATTAAATGCTCCAGTGTTGACTATATCTGATTTATAATTTTTTATTTTAACTAGAAAATCTTAGCAACACGATCTACAGTCATGTTTGTCTTTATTTTATTAAGTGATGTGTTTTCATGACAATACCAGAGAGGGGCGGACCCATGAAGCCAATGGACCCTTAATTTTTTACATTCACATAATTTTTAATCCATAATTTTTACATAATTCTATCTCATCCACACTGAATTATGTTCTTGGGTCCACCCCTAATGCCAAACATAAATTGGTAAAATCTTAGCAGCATGCTCTTTAGTAACTCTATATATTTATATATAAGCAAAATCATCAAATGGAAAACATATTGAGAACTTTTTCAAAAGAATCAAAACCTTGTCGGCCATGTCGCTAAGATTTGATTAGAGAGAAAATTATAGACGTGTTTTAGGCTTTTATCTCTACTTTTAAATCTACTTAATATTTGGAAGAAATAGTAATTTTATTCAATACTATTGTTGTCAAGTAACAATTTAAATGACAATTACATGTCATTAAATGACATATTTACTTAAATGTAATGTCACATGATTCATTTAATTGAATTTACTAAGTGTTACATCTAGACTAGTATTCTAGCACCATTGGTGCTAGATAATATCATTCATTTCAAAATGATTGATGCAAAAGTAAGAAAGATTTGACGTAAAAAGACAAAAAAAAAAAAAAATGTAAGATGAGGAAGCTACGTGCTAGCTTGTGAGGAAATTAGCGCATAATTAAAGAGATCAAGAAATAAATATAAGTTTTGTCTAATTAATTTTATCTATTATAATAATAACATTCATACCATGATACTCAAAATATGGAGAAAAGAAAAAGAAAACGTGTACCTTCACCAAACAACAACTATGTTGTTTGCGTCTTGCAATTAGTAATCTTTTATTGTTTGTATTACATGTTCATAATAACCACATGATATGGTGAGATATAATTTGGTCAGAATTTTTTTAATCAAATAAAAAATAAAATCTTTTTAGATATCTTTTTGACACATCATCTATATGTAAATTATTATATAACTTCATTGTGTACAAATAACATTATTTATCTTTTATTATTGTAGACATCTTTTTAGAAAGTTTTCTTTTAATAAAGCCAATTCAATTAATGAAAATCAGATCAAAAGCAACAAAGGATCTTATCTCCATGAAATGATTTGGCTTGCACTTTCCACATAACTAATTCAAAAGGATGCAAAATATAATCCTCTTCGGTATACTCATAGTCAACGTTTTCTTTTCCCCACATATATTTAATCTAACAGTGATGCTATACGTACAGGCAAAACCCGTACCGATTACTCACATACATGGGTGGGTGGGTGGTCTTTTTTTTTTTTTTTTTAATACAAATGGGTCCCGTGTGGGATTCATTATTTGTGAGTGTTGGTAGGGGTTCTGTCAACTAGAACTCCTGTACACCCAACATTTCTCTCAACTATTATACCATCATATGTCATATCATTTAAGAAATCACGTCAACCATTTGACAATAGTAGTTACTTGAAACATTTTAAGTAACGAGTTGAACAAATTTTATGTCTAGTGAACAAAATAGAGTGGACGTGAAATGTTGTGATTGGCATAACTGATTTCTTACATATACGATCAGTGATCCACTTACATAAATGCATGAATAGTGTGAACTTAGCGTATTGGACTATCATTTTCTTAACCACAACAGTAGTCTAAAGACAATCATACATCACATCTATAACATGTATTTATGTACGAGACATAATGAATGACGTGAAATAACATATTCATACACATAACACCTAATTCGCATTAGAGTCAATACAACGAACATAAAACAATATAATTCACTACTAAGATCCTAGCTGATTACACCTACACTATGTAGCGATCTCATAATTTGATATGCAATTATTAAGATTACGTGTTGGGAGGACTTATCATTCTATTTTTGAAGGGTAAACTAGCAGTATTGACACTTCACTAGTGATTTTTAAACAAGTGTCGACACACTGCACATAAGAAGTTAACTGAAGATTAAGTAATCAAGTTTTTTCCTTAACAATTTATTTATTTATTTAATTTTTTTAAAGATGACTCAATACTACTTTATGTTTAAATAATAAAATTTTACATACCTTGATTAGACAAGGGTCAATTTAGCACCATATAGCCAAACTGACGTTGTAGATATTTAGATTTTATGTTACGTTATTTTTTAACAGCCAATTCTCTCAACAAATGGCCCTTAAGAATTATGGATATTCAAGAACTAATTTACTTATTTTTGCTTGAAAGTGGATTAATTTACTTCTTTAAATACTTTCCCTTCTCATAAAAATTGAAATGTCATGAATACAGACAATCTCTTGTTTCCTGACCTACTGAGACACATTCCGCGATTTACCATCCTCACGATACTCTAAGGTAGAGAAGGTGGGACCCCTCAAAGTTAGGGTTCAACCATTTTTTTTCATGAATGCTTAAATTTTCAACTACTTTTGAACACGATCAAGTTTGAAAGGACAAAAACGTCATTAATGTAGGCAGTAGGTTTGAGCTCAAGATCCAATCAAGTACAGTGTTTTGTACATTTCTGCTCTTTCATTGTCTGAAATTAAAAAAAATAATAATAATGGAAAAAGGGTAATGTTTGGTGTATGCCCTTATTTACATAATGCCGTATAGCATTATCTCATTTGACAGTTAAAAATGAAAAATAGCTTTTGTAGCCAATAATTGATAAAAAAGGTCACAATCTGCAAGAATCTTTTTACACCAAAATTGTTACAATAGAAGTGCTTTTATTTTACAGTTAATATATATATATATGCCTTAAATTTTAAGCAATTTTATTAAATTGTTGGAAGGGTTCTCACTTTTGTAAAAGTTTTACCGTCCATCTCGGTGCATAGTACGGAATAAAATTTAAATAATATAATCACGTGTTTTAAAAAAATTATCTATGCCTTAAATTTTAAGCAATTTTCGTAATTGTTGGATGGGTTCTCACTTTTATCAAAGTTTGACCGTCCATCTCGGTGCATGGTACGGGGATAAAATTTAAATAATATTATCACTTGTTCTTTTACTATTATTTATTATTGAATTGTTGACCTTAACAAACAAGTCGAGAATATGTATATAATAAATTTACTTATATCTTTGTACGTTCATAACTTCTAGATATGCTCCAAAACCCAGCTGAGATTGGATTAATCTTTTTTGGGAAAGTTAAATATAATATTTGCTGAAACTTATACTTGATAAAATAAGTAATTAAATAATAAATTTACCTAGTAGGTTGGATCGTGCAAGAGGGAAGCTTGGTCCTTTATGGTATACATTGTCTCTCCATTGGTATTATTTTCTTAAGCTAATTTTGTGGTAATCGTTAACCATTCAATGCATCCATTGCCACATTTGCATCCACTCGCATATATTAATGTGTGATTGACAATGAATGGCGAGAAAACGAGTAATAATTGTGGATCTTATATTAATGTGCGATTGACAATGAACATATTTCTTTTCTACTTGAACAATTATTCGTGCTAATTTTATTGTTGATAATTTGTTAAAATAAAAGATTTAATCTTAGGCTATATTTGAGATTGAATTTTTCTTGTTTCTAGAGTTTGAAATCACTCCTTCGAAAACAATCTGACAGAATTACCTGAATGCAAGAATTGATCAACAGGATCCAAAATTGTAATTCGAGCCCACCGACTTCACGATATTTCCTTAAAACGAATTTGCTGCCTTCAATGGTGCTAAAGGCGTCCAGCAATCGTTTCCCAAGATAAAACGAATTTTCGTCTCCTACGGAAGCAGCACTGCAGTCTGTAGGAGTTCCAACGAACTCAACGAAGTGATTTTTACTTCGAGACAATATCAGAACGAGAGAGAGGGAGATGAGATTCAAAGCAGAGAAAGTTTGCAATGAAAATGGTGTAAATTTTCTGGTGGAAAGGCTGGCTATTTATAGACTTGTTCGTGGCCATTCGAACAATCATCACCTTTCAGACAAGCCTCAAAAATCCGAACAGACATGCTGTTCTAAAAAGTCGCGTCTGTTAAGTCGGTTAACATTCGACTGTTTGGTCGGTAAACAGTCGACTGTTTGGTCAGTCGAAACAGTCAACTGTTAAAAGAAGCGTGTGGGTTTATGACCGAACTCAATAGGATATAGGTCTTCTCCCTTTCAAAAACTATTGGTACCCCTTGGGGCCCAAACCCAATTCCAAACTTCCACCTTATAAACCACACCAAAGTTTCCTAACTTTCCTATGTGGGATAAGTGTTTGGCAAATCAAATTCTTCCATAATCCTTAGTTTATGTGGG